TGTGAGTGTAAGAAAACCTCACATGTATTGGACCAATTTAGACGTGCTTAGCAGTCTCAATGCTCGGTATAAACGGCCTAGATCCATATTGACCGATGTCAAGTTATTCGTTTGAGCATTATTGCGATGTAACCATTTGATTATATTAAATATTACAAAATACGTTTCCTAGCCTTGGTCCAATCGAACATAGTCAATACAGCAGTGTCAGAGATTATTTTCTCCCTCATTTTCTATTTATTTTATTTGTCCTTTAGATCATTTAATAATTTGTAATAATTATAACTATGACTTCAGATATGTTTTATAAAAGAATGTGTAATCTTTATTGTATTTTTGAACATTTATAATTTGTGACTAACATTTTTTTATTGTACTTCCGGCAAAATTATATAATTTAAATTTAGATTTGTTTAATTTAGTTAATTTAATTATAAAAATATAACCATCCATACTACTAGTCTACCAGTTTTTTATTTCCTTTTCTCCTAGATTTAAGGTAAAGAACTTAGTAATTTTAACAAAAGTACGCTCATCAAACATTTTGTGTCATTTACAATTAAAATTCCACTATGCTCTGGTCTGGTAGAATCTCGGCTAATGGTGGATCCAACTTTGTTTGGATTTATGTGCTTCATCGGTGAAAGCCTTACGGCTAGAAGCCGGTGAACGTCACAAGCATTTGGAATAATCAATCAATTTTTTAAAATTAAAAACTATCTATAGATTTTCATCGAAGCGTTTCTTATGATAGTGATTTTAATCACGGTCAGATTAAATCTACACTGGACCCAACTATGCAACGTCTCCACTGTGCCGTGACCCCACTGTGCTGGATTTTTTTTTTCATTTTATATTACATGACATAAGCTTTAATTTTATATATGTTTAAGGAACGCAATAATTCCGAAACATTTTTAAAAGTTAAGTTAGTTTTTGTAAAAAAGTTGCTATTTTAAATCCCAACTGTGAGCAGGTTAAGTGTTAGATTTTCAAAAAAATGATATAAAAAAAAGGGAAATATCTAAAGTCTCAATATATAAAAAATTTTTTAATTTTTTAATTTTTGAAAAAGTTATGGCAGTTTTAAGAAAAAAAAGTGAAAAAAATGACGAAATTTACCGATTTTAAAAATTGTAACTTTTGTGAAGATTTCCCCTATTTACGGGGAACGAGAGAAATTTTTTCAATTTTTAAGGGTAATGTCTTCAACTAGATACGATTGGTGATCTTTTGACATATTGTTCATCAAAATCAGTCCTGTAAGTGCTGAGAAAAAGTGGCAACAGACACACAAAATAAAAATACGTCATGATAAAATTAATATCTTCTCAGCTTCGCATCGAAGCTAAAATGCAGTATTTCAGGAACATTTATAAAGCTTAAATTGAAAAAGTTAAGTTTTGTAAAAAAGTTGCTATTTTCAATACCACCTGGTGGCAGGTAAAGGGTCAGATTATTATATAAATTATATTCATTTTTCAAAAAGTTATGGCAGTTTTATGTACCAAAATAACATTAATTTTTTACAGGATTATTATACTTTTTGTTCAATTTTAACGGTCATTTGTACAATAGTACATCAATAGTACGTCGGAACAATTTTTTTATTAACTTTTAGTAATTAATATGAGCTTTAATTTAACATAGGTTTAACGAACGTAGTATTTCCGGAACATTTTCAAAAGTTAAGTTGATAAAGTTCTACTTTTTAAATGTATGTTCCAAGTTTTTGTCGTAATATGCATAATGTTCTGCATTACGCATCTTACATTATCAATAAAAAAATTATTACTCTATATTTAATACCAATTGTATACAACACAAATAATTAATTCATCTGTCATAACATATACACATTTGTACACTAGCTATTATATATTTATATACATGTTAAATTGATTATTATATACTATGCATCTTATATTAAAAATAATTATCATGTTATGTTCAAATTTTACACAATAAACTGAAAATCACTAAAAGCGCTGACGGCAACAACCCATGATGGGGGTAATTAAAAGTAATATAAAAAGGCGCTGATTTTCCAAGAGAGGCGAATTCTCTCTTCTTTTTGAAGATCTGAATTCAATAAGGAATTTAGGATTCTTCTATTTGATTTATTTTGAACAAACTAGCCGCGACCACGTGTTGTCGTCGGTACATTTTAAAGCGATATCAAGTACAATTATTTTTGCGTCAATATTTTATATATTTATTAAAAAAGAAACAGTATAAAACTGAACGCAATATATACAAAAGAAGTAAGTAAATTTACATTAAACCAATTATTTAGAATTAATAACCTGAGTAAAGAATGGTAAAGCAATAGATTTTTAAACATCATTTAATTTTATTATTAATAACTAGTTAGTGCGCTTGGTTATATACTTCGACTGGGTGTCAGATAGGAGGCCAAGACCCCGGCCACTACAAGAATACCTCAGCGTTTTAATACCTCTATGAGAGGAACTTAATTTGTATCTTTTTATATCTACTTGTCTTTACTGTTCTAAACCCTCGGACTCTACTACCCCGATAGAACCTCGTTGCTCCTGAATTGACCAAATCCCTAACATCCAACATTGGTCAAATTAAATAGCCCATACATAGTTTTTGCTTATTTTTTGTAATGCTACATTTTGGACACACCCTGTATAAGAGAAAGTTGCCCGTATGAAAAAAAAAGTATTTCGGATAAAACATGTATATATAATGTGTTTAGAAACAAAAATTTAAAGCGATTTTAAGTTGAAAATTTTAACACAAAAATAGAATTTTTTAAACTACGGCAGCCGTTTGCACATGGAGGATAAGTTGTCGGGACAAATTTTTTTTTTTAATTTGATAGTACGTAACATAAGCTTCAATTTGATATATGTTTAAAGGACACAGTATTTCCGAAACATTTTCAAAAGTTTAATTGAAAAAGTACTATTTTTTATGCAATGTTTCTATTTTGAATACCCGGGGGGATAATTTTTATTTTTTAAAAACACATTTAATAATACTTAACATTTAATACGTCATTGTTCTATTTATTTGAAAGTTTTCTACTTAAACATGTATAATGAATTAAAACATCAACTGATTATTAATTAACATTGACAAATTATTAAAAAAATGTATGGAGAGAAAAACGATAAAATACTAAATTATACATCAACCGTCTTATTTTGTTAGTTTTTTACTCGATGCTTTGCCATAAACCTATTTATCGACGTAATGCTGAATAATTAATATTATAAATTATAATAAATTGTCAAATAAAACACAATATACATATTATTATTTGAAAGGTCACAGTTGAATATAGAAATGAAAATAATAGTGATTATACTATTATAACAAACGATAACGACGAGTGTACATGTAGATAATTCTAAAAATAAATTACCCAATATGGTAATATACTAATGTAAAATATTAGTATACGACGGTGCCGGTCGTCCAAACACTTGCAAATTTTTCTTTACCCGCAAATGAATTAAAATAATTATTCAGTAGAAACATACAGTAATTTTTAATTATATTGTATATTTTAAAATTAATAATACATAATATTTTAATACAGAAATAATTATAAATATGATACAATTATAATTTGACATTTGCTAGATAAATAAAAAAATTACGTCAGTTAAACGAAAAAATTAATAAGTGTATGATGACACACGTACAATTACTTAACTATAAATAAAATATTTCAAAGACAAATTGATCAAATATGGTATATTGTAATGTTATAATTATTATAATATTCATATAAATAATACTCAATATTTTATTTAAAATTAGTAGCGCAATTTTTTTTAATTTGAAATTTATAGGGAATCGATAAAACATAAATAAGAAGCAAAATGAAAATTTTTTTACTCTTCGTGTTGATAATGTCCATAAAAGTAAGATTAAGTTATGAAAACTTTTTACAGTGCTCCTATAATCGTTATTTTCTAAACTTTTTTAACCATAATGAAAGATTTTTGTTAGAATTAAAAAATAATAAAGATTATATCACAATCCAAAATATTATGAACTATGGCAAGGCACTTCAAACACACAGTAAAGTGATTATGTTATTTTTGGATGATTTGATAAACAATGAGGAATATAAGTTTCCTTCTGCATTGATCGCTCTAAATATGTACTTAAATAACGTTTCTGGCTCTTTAAATATGATTTCTCTAACCGAAGATGGTGAAAAAAATGATGCTACAAAATTATTAGAAGGCTATAAGATTATTCATTACGCAATTAAAAATCAATTAAAAAGTTTCATTAGTAATAATTGTGAGAATACACCATTTTTTGATTATATGGTTAGTTGCAATACTCCAATCGGTATAAATGAATATACTACAATTAATCTAATTAATATAAATAATCATCTTAAAGATAAAATATTGAAGGAGTTACATTTATCAGAAGAAAAATATTCATACAATAATTTTCATCCGAAAAATTTTTTGTTTTACGAAGTAATGACCCAACAGATTATCAGCAACGAAAATAATATAAAAATAGATAATAGTAAACACATAGAATTAAATTTACTGCGATTCACTCCACTTAATATCCAATGCTCTGACGGTACTCGTTTAACTATACAAGATGTATTTGAGTATATGAAATATGATTTTAATTCTAAAGATGTTTTAGAATACATAAACATGGTAATTTTGGCCACGTTTCAACCAATAGCTATTCTTATACGCAACTTTTTTACATTAATTATAGTTGCATCTTCAGAGAATTCGGATAGTGTACCTATTCGTTTCAAATCGACATTAAGTAAAACCGGTGGAATAATATTAAAATATATAAAAAAATTCATTTCTCTCGGCTTGTTCAATAAGAAACGGACAGCATTTCTGGGAAATATCATTAATGAATTTGTTTATAGCTTAAACAATTATACTAGAAATATAGAGGTGTCCAATATGAATATAGAATCTAGTAATATAATAATTACATTACTTACGAATTTTTTTANTCTAGTAATATAATAATTACATTACTTATGAATTTTTTTCTCAAAAACAGATTTTACTTTACACCTTATATTGTTCTAAGAAATGAAATAATTAATGAAAATAATGCCAATGAAATTCAAAATCAATTAGAAAAAATCATGCACAAAGTTGATGTATATATGAAAGATTTGAAAAAATGGAATAGTTATCTTAAATTAATAAGAACAATTTGTAAAATTCAAAATTTCAAAGTTTCATCTTATAATCATTTAATTGATTCTAAAATTTCGAGTAAGTGTAAATGTGTAATATTCTTTATTAACACGCTTATATTAGTTTCACATGTATGTGTATTGTTTATAACTCTCCACGCGCCACGTGTTATTATATCGCGTATCCTGTCGTCTATGGCCTTGAGACTAGACTGTCGTAACGCATACACCCCATCCCTCTCACCACACGTCGACAATATTATTTTCCTGTATACTTTTTGGTTTTTGTACCCGTACATGCGGACGTATCATCTACAGGGTGTTCAGTAAGTCAGGAAACGGGTTTCTATTGTTCTCATTGTTACAAACAATATGATAAAAATAGATGTGATCGGAATAGAACGCGTCCAGAAATGATGTTGTGTTTTATAATGGCAGTAAGGTCACGCCGTTAGCTCTGTATATTAACACACTTATATTAGTTTCATATGTATGTGCGTTGTTTGTAACTCTCCACGCGCCCGTGTTATTATTCTCGCGTATCCTGTCGTCTATGGCCTTGAGACTAGACTGTCGTAACGCATACACCCCATCCCTCTCACCACACGTCGACAATATTATTTTCCTGTATACTTTTTGGTTTTTGTACCCGTACATGCGGACGTATCATCTACAGGGTGTTCAGTAAGTCAGGAAACGGGTTTCTATTGTTCTCATTGTTACAAACAATATGATAAAAATAGATGTGATCGTAATAGAACGCGTCCAGAAATGATGTTGTGTTTTATAATGGCAGTAAGGTCACGCCGTTAGCTCTGTATATTAACACACTTATATTAGTTTCATATGTATGTGCGTTGTTTGTAACTCTCCACGCGCCCGTGTTATTATTCTCGCGTATCCTGTCGTCTATGGCCTTGAGACTAGACTGTCGTAACGCATACACCCCATCCCTCTCACCACACGTCGACAATATTATTTTCCTGTATACTTTTTGAATTTCGTACCAGTACATCTGGGCGTATCATCAAATTATATATACATATAAACAAATTTTTATTGTTTATTATTAGGTATAAACATTTAAAGATTCAAATTTTTTTGAGTAAATATACACGTGTTATACTTAAGGGATTACAAATACAGGTAGCTAATTGGTTTTTTATTACGATATTAGAAAGCATATAGCCTTTATTATCAATGGTAATAAGACACATTGTTGTGAGTTTATAGACACACTAACTGGCAATGCAGAAATTATATCCATTTCTAGTGATAATTTACAACAAACCCTCCGTCACCGTAACAACGATGTCATAAAAAACTAAAAGTGAAAAATAAATATAGTTTATATGTAATATCTGCTATATATTTAATAACAAATATCTGAAATAATTTCTATTTTGCTATGAGTCTTGTAATATAAAGCACAAGAAAAAATTCAACAAGACAATTGAAATATAATATAGTTTACCACTTTAAAATATTTATTTTATGCTCTGAATAGTGTCAATTACTTTGTAAAAGATTTATCAAATATTTTTTTTATGTATTCATAATTTTAATACTTTTGAAAAATTCTTAAAATATTTTATAACTTTTAATTTTTCTATTAAACATAACATTACAAAATTTACAATTTCCTTATGTATGTAAAGAATAGTGTCTAAATTTATTCTCAAAATACACATATTATAATTTCTCTTTTTATTAATTTTAATGGTTTATATAAAGAGAATATAAAACTTATTTTACAATTTATTATTAGACTTTTTCTCCAAATACTTACTTAATGTGATGAGTGGATTTTTTAAATATTAATTACATTAATGGAATACAATCACATGTGATTATTGTTTTATTTTTAAAAGTATGAAAATTCTCTGATATTCATCATAATTAACATCAATTTTAAAAAAACAATTTTGATAAATTATAATTGATTTAATTTTAATTATGCTTATGTATTATTTAATCTTTTGTTTATAATTGTCCTACAAATATAACAATTTTATAGATAAATTAAAATTTTTATTTAGAAATCTCTTTATTTTATAAAACAAAACAATTATTTCAATAGGAGCATTTTTTAAACCATTATTTTATTTATTTTAGATCTTATTTGTGGTACTGAAACACATTTTGAAATATACAATGCTAGTAGGAATGACTGCAATAAAATTGACATAGGATTTTTTAAGAGCGATTATATTACAGAATATAATTTAGAGGAGATATTAAAAGAAGAACCTGATACAAATGATACCCTTAAAATTCAAACTGGTAAACCGTTCTATATGGTCCATTATTTGCCATACAACATGTAAAGTGATATTATTAAAATTATTTTAATACTAAATATTGTATAATGTCTTGCCTATTTGCAAAATTAAAATTTTTTTGGTATACAGTATACAAAGTGATTCTTTTCATATTAATCACTCGATTTTTTTAAAAATAATAATTATATTACAAAAATTATTTTTAGTACTTTTTAATTATATATATTTTTAATTTAAAATTAATCTTAATATATCTACTATAACTTATATAATTTTAACTTAATTTTTTAAATGGCAACATACACACTTGGTTACAAAATAAAATAAATAATATAATTAAGTAAATTCTTAAGTAATAACATATTTTGACAAATTATTTCAGAAGTTTTAAAATTAGATTTAACATTTTAAAATATAGTTATTATAAGACATTTCTCGACCTTATGATTCCTCTCCCCAAGATAAAAAAATGTTAATGACATTCAAAATACTAGCACCATTATTGTACCTACCATCCGAGTAGCAATCGAGTTCATACCAGGTTTATTTAATATATTAACAACGGTGCTGAACCCAGTTCAAACCCCGTTCATAGCACAGTTCAAAGTGAGATTTGAATATGGATTTTGAACATGGGGTGAACTGAGTTCTTCGGTTCAGCTATAAAACGCTCGATAACAGTTCAATAATCGTTCATTGGTTCAATAAAAGCGTGTTCTACGACCGTTTACTAAGCGTTCATTAGTTCATTAGCAGTTACGGTATTTAAAATCAAATTTATAGGTTTTGTAAATATTCAAAAATTTTATAATTTTAAAATAATTTATTGTATTACTATATACACAATGTATTATCTGTATAAAATATATTATATGTATATATAAAGTAAAAAGTTAACCTTCGAATTTTAGGATTATTTTATTTTATATTAAATGATAATTAGTAAACAATCCATTCATATAATTTGATTATAATTAATATAAATTAATAACAATAGATCATTTTAAATAAAAATAATGATGTTAGTAATGTCAGAAATTTATTTAGTGTAACTTAGTTTGATTTATTGTTGTACAATATTTATCAAAAAAATCCAATAAAAATATTATATCATAGTAAGTTAATCACTAAGGTGTTATAGAATTTAGTCAAGGAATATATAGTTAATATTGGTACAGAAAATCATGAAATTGCAATAGTTGATATAACAAAAAATATTACCGTGATTATAAAAACAATTAATAATTTTAATATAATTTCCATGAAATGAAATAAAAGAAAATCAATGCCATAAGTACAACAGTAGGAGTAATACACGTAAGTAGCATCCAATAAGATNTGATATAACAAAAAATATTACCGTGATTATAAAAACAATTAATAATTTTAATATAATTTCCATGAAATGAAATAAAAGAAAATCAATGCCATAAGTACAACAGTAGGAGTAATACACGTAAGTAGCATCTAATAAATGGCATAAATTGCAATGTTTTTTTTTTTACTGTTTTTATTTAGATTTCAAAAATGCTATATTTTGTTTTAACTTATTAATAAAAAAACTGTGAAACAATCTAAGTAAATAAATTTAAAAAATTATTTACAAAAAAATGAAATGTAATTGAATAACAAATAAACAATAGGATTTTTTTGTCGCGATGCTTTATTATTGCCAGAATGCTTAAAAATATTATCTATTATTTTGTTAAATGTTATTTCGTGTTCAGATATTATGATTTGGCCAGACATAGCATCTAAAAAATAAACAAACATTTGTACATATAATAACTAGTAAATATATTTGTGTTGAATATACAAGGGTTCGAAAATTAAGATAAAGGGTTCCCATTGTTTGTAACAATTGATTTGTTTTCTTTATTTATTGAACATGTAGTGTATCTATACAACATATGGACGGAGCACAGGCAAAACATGTTGTATAGAAGGGACTATTTCATAGAAGAGTGTGGGGATGTCATATCCCCCAAAGTTAATTAAAATCATTGTAGGAATTTTTAGAATAAATTGTAGAATTTTGTACCCATAAAAGTACTTTGTTGGCAAAATTCACTTCACACCCCCCTAAAATTTACTACTTGGATCGCTCCTGTATACAGGTTGTAGCATCATCTTCATCTCTTTTTATCCAATTATTTTTTAACTGCTATTTAGAAAAGAATAAAAATACTAGTTGTACTATGATATAACCAGTATTTTTTCACTGCAATAAAAAGGAATAAGTCTGTTTGGGATTTACACCAACAATATTCATATTGTTTGAAACATGATGGCTTATTCAATGACAGCATTTTAACCAATACAGCGTGATCTGTACACACGACACCCCAAAATCATTCAAGTAAATTTTTCTATGAAAAATGTAGTATAAATTAAAAAATTATTTTTTCTTTGTAGTTTCAAAATTAGACTTCCAGACTTAGTTCGTTTTACTAACGCGCTATCAATATATCAACATATTCAATTTGCGTTTTTATTACAGTTTAATGTTTATACCATGAAGTACTTTAAAAATGTGAAGCTTATTAAAAGCTTGTGTAGTGTTACCACAAAAACTAAAATTTGCAGCCATTTCTCTTGTTATACAAATATCAAATGCTGTTCTCTTATATACACTAAAACTTTTAATGGTAGCAACTTTAAGCAACAAAAATTTTTTCTGAAAATAAAAAAAAGAATTACTCATCAATTCCAATAAATTAAATTATATATATATATTATTAATATTATTATTTTTATGAATATACAATGTTATAATTATAGTTTAATCATTATTTAAGTAGTCGGTATCTTACCAGTATTAATATAGGCTCTAGTAATTGTATCCCAAATAATATAAATAAGAAATGAAGATAAGAATACTTCAGTAGAACGACCTTTCAAGTTAATTAAAACATGCTCCCAAAGAATAATTTTATTTAAAATAATATACCTATTAAAAAAAATAATTAACAACTATGCTTTGGGTATAAAAAAATTTATAATTTACTATTATATAATAGTAAATATACTAAATTTATAATTTTTTATTAATTTAAATAAAAACATTTTAATACAAAAGAGTATAAAGTCTTAAAGTTATCACGTATCCTAGTGTTATGGGTGAACACCACACAAATGATAAGTATACGATTAATTGCGGTACGTAAATAGAATAATACCGATAGGCGTAAGTAATATTATATTTGTATAGGTAAAATTACACTCTTAAAACAAAAAGTATATATAAATATAATATATTTTAATATTATTAAAATATATATATTTCTATATTTCAATAATTAAATAACTACTATATAAATTGTTTCACAATCAATGTTAAAGGGGAAAAATACATACGCAGGAAAACCAGTTAATGTGTACATCGGAAACGGAACATAACGCAATATCCGTAATCCATACTCGGCGGCGGCCTTATCTCAGTGTCAAGGGCGGGGAGACAACCGATTGTCATATTAATAGCTGGACGGCTGATATAGAGAGAGACACGGGTTAGCGCCAGCCTAGAGCAAAAGGCGGTGCCGCACAGTGGAATGAAACGCCGATTTAAAATAGATGCGCCGATGTGCTTTAAAAGCGTGTTTTTCAGTTTTTTTTAAATATATTTTTTACTTTTTAGTTTCATGTTATGATAGTAGTTACTATCAATATCTTGGTTGTTACGGGTAACGGGAAATCAGAGTTCGATTCCAAAGAGGGAGTCTGAGAAATGGCTACCACATCCAAGGAAAGCAGCAGACGCGTAAATTACCTACTCTCGGAACATGGAGGCAGTGACGAAAAATGACGATACGATGGGAATTATCCTTTGTAATCGGTATGAATACACACTATATCTATAAAAATCTAAGGCCATAGTCGACGGGATACGCGACATAATAACACGTGCCGCGTGGAGTTACAAACTTACAACAAACAAACAACATACATGTGAAACTAATATAAGCGTGTTTTCCAGTTTTTTTAACTATATTTATTTTTTAATTTTTAGTTTTTTATGACATCGCTGTTACAGTCTTGGAGTATTTACTGTCAATTACCACTAGGAATGGATATAATTTCTGTATTGCCATTTAGTGTGTTTATAAACTCACAACAATGTGTCTTATTACCATTGATAATAAAGGCTATATGCTTTCTAATATCGTAATAAAAAACCAATTAGCTACCTGTATTTGTAATTCCATGTGTATTATACAATGTAATATATGCATATTAACTCAAAAAAATTTGAATCTTTAAATGTTTATACCTAATAATAAACAATAAAAATTTGTTTATATGTATATATAATTTGATGATACGCCCAGATGTACTGGTACGAAATTCAAAAAGTATACAGAAAAATAATATTGTCGACGTGTGGTGAGAGGGATGGGGTGTATGCGTTACGACAGTCTAGTCTCAAGGCCATAGACGACAGGATACGCGAGAATAATAACACGTGGCGAGTGAATAGTTACAAACAACGCACATACATATGAAACTAATATAAGTGTGTTAATATACAGAGCTAACGGCGTGACCTTACTGCCATTATAAAACACAACACCATTTCTGGACGCGTTTTATTCCGATCACATCTATTTTTATCATATAATTTATTGATCAAAAACAAAATAACGACATCTAATTAGTAATTTGGGTAATGATTCAATGCGTTTCGTTAAATTTTATTGAAAGCGAAATTGGATATTAAAAATAATACTGTATTTTTTTTTTAATTGAAACAGTAGGGCCATATGTTCAACAGAGTTTAAATTAATTATGGCTTGATGCAACAGTTTATTCGTTGAATTGTAGATATGAAGACTTCACGTGTATTGTATAAAAAAAAAAAAAGATATGTGGCACATTTATGTAAAGCATATTTATTGTTATGCTTGAATTATATAATTTATAAATCTACCCCACAATTTAAAGTTGAGCCTCCTAATTTGAAGCCTTAAATAATCTGGTGTGACTGTTGTCGGTTCATAGCATCGACCAATGAACGTTCAATCCATTATGTATGTCAGCGACAAATGTAAAATTGGGCTATTAAGTTTGTTTATGTGGAACATCTTACCGAATATTGACGAGAATTGTAATAAATTCATTTTTTGAAATGGCACTGTTGGCAACTCAATTATGGTGATAACACTGTCAACGAGATAGTACGAATTTGACGATTTACAGAAACGAGTTACCGAAGTGCAATGGAAAGAAAAGTACAAATATAAAGCATAACACAAATAGATAATGACGATCCATTGTTGCCAATCTTTAATTTACTCTAGGAAAACAGCAGTGGAATCGATGACAAAAAGTTGGGTGACCGTCAGTCGGTAATCGGTTGATTATTGGGGTTTCGAACTCGCGTTTAAGCACCGATAATGGAACACAATCGGAATACCCATTATCTATAACAAAGGTGACATACACATGAGTTGACTTCAATATTATTGTTGATTCATACTACGGAAGACGTCAATTGCAAACATTGCAATGTTGTACTCTGAACTCAGTGTAATAACCGAACTGGATCTGATGCGCATTCTGAATAGCAAAAAATGGCTCTCATTAAAATTCCAATAAAAATACTGGGACGTCCCCGTTTACTCGTTGGTACCGTAGACAATTAAACGTATTTAAACGTGAAAAAATCCAGATATTTACTTATTGCCATGGATAACGAGAACGAACTAGTACTCGGAGATTCCGATCACTTTCTATTGAGAAATGTCAAAGTGTATTTGAACGCAGACTAGTATTCGTACTAGAACCAAAACTCCAATTTCGACAACAACAAGTAAGAAGATCAAAAAAAAAAATACAAAGAGATGCTATTGAA